ACACCCGGAAATTCTGTCTTCCCATGCTGATCTTCCTCCATAAAGACGACCCATGGGGCCTAGCATGCTCCTTAATCCTCTCACCCGGGATCCAACTCCCCCATTTTGCATCAATCACCTTCCTCCAAAGTCTATCCTCCTCCCTCAAATACCTCCAGAGCCATTTCCCTAGAAGGGCCAGATTCAACTCAACAAAGGACCTCAGCCCCTAGCCCATCCAACATCAATGGCTGTTTTATTTCCTCTCACCTAACCAATTGATATGTTCTTCTTTCATCAGTGTCTCCTCGCAAGAATCTGCTTTGGATAGCCTCAAGTCTTCTTGCTACCTTCACTGGTATTGCTAAAACAAACATGTAATATATAGGAAGGTTCTGCAACGTACTCTTCATCAATATTAATCTCCCCCTTTAAACAAGAACTTCCTCTTCTACTTAGCCAATCCTTTTTTGAACGTCTCAATAACCGGATCCCACACCATCTCATCTTTATATCTCGCCCCAAGAGGAAGGCCAAGGTATCTGATCGGGAAATCCACAACTTTACAGCCCAGAACACTGGCAAGTTTCTCTTGGTCCCTCTTGTCGCCCACCATAACCAATTCTGATTTCTTTAGATTAATGCTTAAACCTGACACAACTTGGGAACATAATAAAATGACCAAAGATTGAGCAACATTTTCTCATCGGGCTGGCAAAATAGAAGTGTATCATCAGCGAAAAAAACATGAGTCATATCCGTCGCACTATCATTTTACCCGATCGTAACCCTTTTGATTAGCTCTAATTCTTTAGACCTCAGTAAAAGCTTGTTCAATGTTTCCATTACCACTATGAAAAATAATGGTGATAACAGATCTCCCCGCCCCAAACTCAGGCTTGCCCAAAAAAATTTTGAAGCTCCCCCATTATCTAATAGCAAAAGAGGTAATCGTCATGCACATTTTCATCCATTTTCTCCATTTTTCTCCAAATCTCATTCTCCCTAGCATATAATAAACAAAATCCCAATTTACATGTTGTAATCTTTTCAGAATTATCGCCCTACTAAAAAAAATATTCTTGTAATAGGTCCTGTTCCGGGTCAGAAATATAGTGAAATCACCATTCCTATTCTTTCCCCAGACCCCGCTACTAATAAAGATGTTCACTTCTTAAAATATTCCATATATGTAGGCGGGAACAGGGGAAGGGGTAAGATTTATCCTGACGGGAGAAAAAGTAACAATACAATTTATAATGCTACAACAGCGGGTATAGTAAGCAAAATTTTATGAAAAGAAAAGGAAGGATACGAAATAACCATAGTGGATGCATCGGATGGATGTCAAGTGGTTGATATTATCCCCCCAGGACCAGAACTTCTTGTTTCCGAGGGCGAATCCATCAAACTCGATCAACCATTAACGAGTAATCCTAATGTGGGTGGATTTGG